GGGGGCGCACTCCCGGCACCAGCAGGCAGGCCCCCTCCCCTCCGAGACCACCTTCCCTTCCGCACTGACTGCAGACTTTTCCGCTCGCAAAGGCCTGTTTGCACGTGGCTGGGCTGGCGGGGCGCTGCGGGGCTCAGCTTCGTTCCCGTCTCATCCACGCCACCCCCGCCCACGCCACAGCGCTGGTTCTGTCACGCGCCGCGTGTGTCAGCACCGCGTGTGTCACCCAAGAAGGGGCCTTTCCGAAGGCATGACGGTGAGGGCCCCCCATTCACCGGGGGAGGCCCCCCAGGCCGCACGGAGTGCTTCCCGGGCGCAGTCTTTGGAGCATTTTCATGCCGGCTCCAAGCAGGGCGCGAATCCTCAAGTCCTGACGTCGGCGGCTGTAGGTCCCTTTTATTTGGGGTCATAGAAAATCATTAAAGGCACCCCAAGGGGGCCCCTGGATTTCAGACACTGACCCCTCGGCCCCCACGTGGAGCAGCAGCAGCTCCAGTTTTTCTAGACCTGACCTTCAGAGGCCCCGCCAGGAGCTTTCGAGGCCCCAAGTGGGGGGACTTCTTCCTCGGGAACGAAGACCTGCAAACCCGGGGGCTCGGGGTCCCGGCGGACAGCGCAGGCTCTTGGTCGGCTCCTGGTCGGACAGCGGTGACCGGAGCCGCTCCCACGCCCGCACCTTGTGGCCCCGACCATGTGTTCTGGCCACGGACAGACACCCCCGTAGGGCGCCCGCTGATTCAAACCAGAACCGCGGCGTGGGGGACGAGCGCCCGCCCTCCCAGCGCCGTCCCCGCGGGCGCCCCGCCTTGGCCTCCGCGTGTGCCGCGCCCTCCGGGTAAAGCCGGGACCCCGCATCCAGAGCAGCGGCGTGCGGGGGGGCAGGGGTGCCCTAAGTCCAGGGGTGGCCGCGGGGCAGCAACGCAGATCGGAACCCAGGAGGCGTCCGCCCCGGGAGCGCGGATCGCTCTGCCCCGCGTGGAGGGGCCCGCGTGGCCGCCGCCACCGGGGGTCAGGC